TCAAAAAAAAATAAAAACATATTTTTTCAATAATAAATATTTACCCCGAACCATTCATATCGACCATAAATCGCATATACATCACAACTAAAAAAAAAAAAAAAAATATATATATATATATATATATATATATATATATATATATATACAACATAATTTCAGAAAGAAAATTACACTAATAAACACATGTCATTTTTTGTCTTGTCTCCATTAAATTATTTTTTTACATGAAAACACTAATAATAATAATGCTCGATAAAATCACTAATAAAGGGAATGCTCGATAAAATCACTACGAAGATAAAATATGAAAACATCAACCCATATGAATTCGATGTTTATTCTTTTATCAGACTAATCAAGTTGCGTGACTTCTAATGTTTCATTCATCACTATTATAGATAAGCCAGATAAACAAATGTTAAAAAAAAACATCAAAATCTCATACATAAAACTACACAAAACATCAATAACGTATCCAACCCCCACGCTTGCGCGGAGACTATGCATCTAGTTAACTTAATTTTTGGGATTGATTCGTAGCACTCGTGATAATTAACCTCAGAATAAAATATTTTTTGAGAAATCTGAAACAATTTCATTTTGAAAAAAAAAGTGTTGTTTGTTTTGACGTCTTTAAATAGCAAATTGGAATAAGTAACAAGTGAGAATATTGAAGGTGTAAATCGAGTCCTTATCACAAGAGAGGATACGTCCACTGGTTTCTATTTTCTATTGTAAATTTTTTTATGTTTATTTACAAATCAATAATCTTCAAAACAAAAGTATGACTTGATCAAATGAAGATTCAGTAGGAAGTGGTTATAATCGAGCTCTTGATGAACATTTATTATAATATCTTTATATCTTTATAAAAAGGTATTTATAATATCTTTTTTTCTTGCATCAATTATTTATTGATGGTAATCAACTATTCTCTAGTTTCAATTTACTTTTTGTTTAAGGTTTTGGCACACCAATTAAAAAATTGCTTTTTACATTAGTTAAAGCTAATTCAACCAATATAAAATTATACAATAGAATAAAAATGGTTAAAATATTAAATAACATAAATTTTGTATAGAAAACTGAAAACATTGGTTAAACTGAAAGATAAATATTTTTTTAAACTTCAATTTCCTAGACATTATTTGCAAAGTGATTTCACACATGCCCTCCCTATAATCACAACCACTAAAAAATGTGTCATGACATAGAAAAAATGATGACATAATTTTTTTTTAAATATGACATGGATAATTACATCTAATGTTGATTTTTATTTTAATAAACATTTTTACAAAATGGTAATAATTCATACATCATCATTAAAATAAATTTATTCAAGTATGACATTAAATAATATAATAAAAATATAAAATATTTTACAAATTTTGAAATAATATTTAGGTATATCTTTATAACCATAAAATTTTATTAGTAAATAAGATTTTAAAAATGTATACAAACTTTTCATAAAATAATAAAATTTTCATCGTAACACCCTTTGTTTCCTTTTGATATCTACAAACTTAGCAGTTCTGTTTACTTTGATATTTATACAATTTTTATATAATTATTTTATAATTATATAAAAGTTAATATAATACATTGTACCCAAAATAAATAAATGACAATCTATCTAAGATTATAATTATAAATATATATATAGATATATTCTTAAATATAAGTAAATAAATAAATAAAATTATTTCATCATAATTTTATGTTGAAATAAATCAATATTTATATTAGAGTATTGGTATAAAAATAATAAAATCTAAAATATTAACAAACTTTTATACTCTACATTGTGCAAAAAAATACCTAGTAGTTCTTTACATGAAAAGGAACAAGGAGACATTATTAGGTGCTATAAGTAATAAAAATGCTTTGTAAATGGTAAAAAAAAACTTTAGGAATAAAATGGAACATAGTTTTCATGTCATCCCTATTCTCAAGTTCTCAACTATAGTTACCAGTTGGACCCTAAATAAACCTTTGCAAAATTTTAATACGGCCGGATTTGTATATCATTTGTTTATCTTTGTCACTAATGGAAAATAAAGAGACAATTTAAAAGATTACACAAAGTATATCAACAATTTATGCAAAACAATTTCAAAAGACATGCGAAGTTTATGGTTGACCATTAAAAATGCATAGAAGGCGGGATTAGATACAACACTACACCTAATTAAGTGATATTCACTTAGTACTCTCTCTAAACACTCAAAAACTAATTAATTAAATTAGATAATTAGAGAGGTAACATAAATGTAGACGTTATATATGTTTGTATGAACCTGTTGAGGTTTGTTTTCAAAGTTCTGGAAGATGAAAGTTAATAATTAAGAGGAAGAAATGATAATATTGGATCAGCAGGGATATGAAGAGAAAGAGCCTAAGAAGATAGAATGAAAATTCTTATTACAAATCTTGGTATTCCTTTTTTTTTTACTTCTACATATGATAAAATACATAGAAACAAAAAAAGAAAGACCATGGAATCATATTCACATGAGCATGAACATGAACAATATGAATTCTCTCTCCTTACTGAACAATAACTTAATTAAAATGATTAAAAAAAATTAAGAAACCCCAAATAATCACTATACCTTATTATCTCAAGTTTGATTCGACGATCATTGGTGATTTGACTATTTTATGCTTGCATCGTTAACACTTGATATGTTCACCTTCATTTTTACAAGCTCTTAAAACTCGGATAAGTTTATTATAGTCCTTCATATTTTTCATTACACGGCATACGCATGCTTTAAAATCTGGTGGCATAGTGGCGTTCCAGATTGGACAGCATATTTTCTTCAACTCGTTATCTTTAGACAATAGGCTCAGGCAGGTGAAAATAGTCTTATGGCAATCACCCTTGATCGGAGCAGGGAATGATGTTTTTAACATCATGACAAAGACGATGCACATCAATGGAATTAACTTCATTGAATTAGTTAGTAGATACTTTGCCTCAGAGTTAAAAAAAATTGAGAAATCTGAAACAAAGTAATTTTAGAGAAAAGTTGTATGTTTTGAGGTCTTTAAATAGCAAACTGGAATGAGTAGTAATAAGTGAAAATATTGAAGATGGTAATTGAGTCCTAAACATAAGGGAGAATACGTACACTGACTTCTATTTTTAATTGTCAAAAAATTTCAATTTTTATTGAATCATTAATTTTCAACGTAAACGTATGACTTTATCAAATGACCGATTCAGTAGGAAGTGCTTATAAATCGAGCTCTTGATGTAAAGTTTGTTTTTCCATCATATATGTATTAATTAATGTGATCGTAAAAAAATTATAAAATAAAAAAATGGAAAATCAAATGTTAATACAAAAATGTGTAAGATAATTTGTGTATTGGAAAATTAATTGAAAAACAAAATGATATGTAGACAAAACAAATATATTATTTCTAAGAATCAATTAACTTTCATAATCAATCCAAATACATAGTTTCCACCAAAGTAAACTTTGAAAAAAAAAAATACTTAGTGGAAATTTCGTATTGGTAAATTAATTAGAAAGCTAAATGAACAAATATATTATCTCTAATGATCAATTAATTGACAGGATATGTTTGATTTTTACACTATGCAAATTAGCTTTCATGATTAATTATAGAGTACAAAATTTCCACCTAAATAATTTTAAAAAATTCCTCTTTCTATTAATTGAAAAGTATTACAACATGTTTTGGTAGCCACGTGTCATCATGAGAATACTTTTCAAGTTTACTAGAGAAAAATGTTGGTCCATATAAACATATAATATACTTTTTATTAAACTAAGCATAAAACTGTTATTAATGCTACTCATTATTTTCTTAAATAAAATTTACAGAATTATATTATATGGTTATAATATATATATATATATATATATATGATAATTAATGATTTGAATATGAAATATTTGATAAAAATTGTATAGCCTCTACTCTTTTTGTTAAATTTATATTGTGAAAATAAATTAAACAATAACATTCACTATATAACAAACACAATTAGATTTTTTATATATGTTATATTTAAATTTTTTAAAACGACTATAAGTTAATAAAAAATTTAAAAATTCACATATAATATTTCTGATTAATAGTTTAATTTTTTTTATTATAGCACGATACAAATAATTATATAATTAATGAGTAAGAAATATCATTTAATAGACATTTAAATTAGATGTATCTTATACTATAAAGAAGATTTTTCTCTTCTTTCCCAGCGCCATGTCATCAATTAGTTTTTTTTTTGGGTGCAACACGTGTCATGAAAGTTCAATACGTTTCATTTTAGTGTCAATACATTTTGGCTTCTTTTCAATTTCACCTTTTCTTTTTCATCAAGTGACCCAGCCCGTGAAAAGCATATCTATGTGTCTTGAAACGCGGCGTTTTAGGTTTTACGTATCACCTCATCTTCACGGGTTTCATACGCGATTGTTCATCTTCCTCATTACGATCCGATAGCAACCTGTTACCGATTCATCCTCTTAAATCCATTATTTAATCCATCACCCACGATCTACGTTCACTGTGATTTACAATCCTCCAAGGCGGTGTATTTTTGTGTATAAAAAGGTTTGCATTTCTCCTCTTGAAACCATCTTCTCCTTCTGTGAAGAAAACGCATCAAACTTACTGTCTGAGATATGGCTAACGCTTCAATTTTCCTCTCCGATTTGCAGACCGGACGATGCTCCTCCACTGTTCAAGTTGGGTTGCTCTGTTTCTGGGAGGGCAGGAACGTCTGAAAAGGAGACGAACTCATGGGAATCGATATGCTCATACTAGATTCACAGGGTTGTTAGTCTTGCATTCATATTTTAAAAAAAAAAAAAAAAAAAATCATTCTACAACAGCACATAAAGCAATCGCTAAGCATCAGTTTGGACATCAAGATCGATGCATACTCATGTCCATTGATTATGTATGCATTGATTTTGTACATTCCAATTTGGAAAAGGAAATTGAAATCAAGAGAAGTTGGGATTGCTTTTAAAGTACGCAAAGACACCGACTAAAGGTGCATTGATGTATGTCGTAGGCTCCGTGTCGCTAGCATTTGTCCGTTTTCCAATGAATGTATCATCTATGGTGGGCCCTCCAATCACCGCTCCAACTAGAATGTTAGGGTCTAGATTGGGTGATGCGAAAATATTCCATCCTTGTACGCACCCGAACGCATTCCTATGAACCTTAACAGACGGTATAGACGCGCCACGGTGGTGGATCTGTCGCGGGTACTGATCACCGTACCCAACCATGTATGACAGTTTCATTGGATTATCTCCCAAAACATAGTCCACCTACAAAAAAACAAAAAATAATACATAGATAAAACTTTACTGAATCTGTAAATGCATAGGCTCCCATATTGGTCTGGAAAAAAAAAGCAAATGATCTTGCAGTTTTACATATGTAATTTTATGACCAGCTAATGTACTACCTGTCGTTTGACTATGCGACGAAGAGAATCCGGTGGAAACTGGTGGTGACCGCAATTGAGTTGTTGAGAGGATTTAGAGAGGTAATCCGCATAAGTAAGGAGGAGGAAAGACAAAGCGGCCATGTTCTGGAGCTGGCTACTACCCGGTTTGTAAAGAAGACCGCCGGGTGTGTAACTCATGTGTAGACCAGAGGTTTCCGGGAAAAAAGCACACATCATTTCCTCTGCCGCATATTTATATGCTGTTAACGCAGTCACATTCTTTTCAAATATTTCCTGTTCAGAGATATTGACGTTTGTAACGTTTAAATATTGTTTACAGTCGTCTTAACTGATGTGAATAAATAAATTGGATCAAACCTTGGCAATGAGAACATTAGCTCCCCCATATTTATTGTCCCAACCAAACTCCAAATAATTGAACTCTTGACTGAAAGCTTGACGATTGTTCACCAAGTACTCTAGGTAATAATCATTACCAGTTGCTCTTCTCAGCCATGCAGCTCCCCAAAGCAACTCATCCTACATGAAAATTATATATACAGTTTAAATGAAACTTAATTAAATTTTATTGTCACAATAAATATTCAGAAATGATCCAAGGTATATATATACCTTATATCCATTAACACTGCAGTAGAAAGGGCAAACGGCTTTGTTTACATTTGGATTATCAGTGTAACAACCTCGATGTGAATCTGCGTACTGAAACGTTTTAATGGCGTTATCCAGCAACACTTCAGAATATTGAGGTCTTGATTGCTTGAATGCGATTGAAGCAGCTGCCAGAGCTGCAGCGATTTCACCCGCTAAGTCGGAGGCTGGACCCGGCGCATCTAAGGCGTAAGCAGTTCGTGGCGTATCCATATCTTCAGGCCTTTCCCAACAGTTATGGTCAGCTTTTGCTTCACCTACCTATAGATGGTGAAAAATCAAATTCGTGATAACAGTAAGAAAAAATGACGATGCATGGTGGTTTTAATATTTATACGTACTTGGACGAAAATGCGATTAGGGAGTTGTGAGACAGTCTTAAGGAGATAATCACTGCCCCACTTAAGAGCCATGAGACTGTGTCCCACATCATTCGGAGACATGTAACTTCGGAAGTCGATGGAGCTCCAAGCAAGCATTGTGGTCGTAAAAGCCATTGGAAAATGAAACTTAATGTTGTCTCCTGCGTCGTAGTAACCACCAACGAGGTCGGCGTTGAGGTTTTGGCCGTCGTTGAGTGCAGAGTTACCACGCCAACTCACCCTTTGTTGTTTAGGAAGACGACCGGAGCGTTGACCCTCAAAGAAGAGGATTGATTTTCTCAGAGCATCGGAGTAATCGTGAGGGACGGCCGTTGGTAATAGGAGAAGTGTGAAAACGGTTAAAATGGAAAATGCTGGTTTCATCTTTGAAAAAAATAAAATTTAAGGGCTTTGAGAGATTTTGCTTTTTGGCATTTATTTTTGAGGGTCTATGACTAGTATTTATGGAGCTGCACTAAAACTATAAATTTTGTGAAATCTTTAAAAATTAATAATGTTAAGACTACACTAAAACTATAATTTTTGTGAAATCTCTGTAATTAATAATGTTATGACTATATTAAAACTATATTTTTTAATTAATTTATAGAAATTATTAATTTGTCAATATATTAATTGAACCAAAAATTTAATTTAGAACTATAAAATTATATTATTTTATAGACATTTTTTGTGTATATTAATTTATAGAGTATTAATTTAAAAAGGTTATACTGTATACGACAAGATTGCTAAGGGTTCTCAAAATAAGTTCTAACTAATATAATATTAAATATTTTATTTATATAATTAAATCCAACTAACTTCCAAGTTTTGTTTTGAGAAATGATGAGTACGAAATTACTAAGTTCTGGTAATTGTATAGGTAGTTGGTTAATTTGGTAGTCACCATACGTATGTGGTTGGTAAGGATCCATATCCATCCATGCATATGTTAAAAGCATTCACAATTTCTTATAGTTATGTACAAGAAATCTTCTGGATCTTTGTCTTACTAAATTGTATATACCTTACTCTTTACGTAAATATCTTTGGATTTATTGACTTTTTCATTTTTTTTTTTAATTCCCACAACTCAAAACAACAGTATTCTATTAGATAGATATGGAAAATTTGATATAGTTGTATTTTCTACAATAGAATTGAGAGGCTAAAAAGGTAAAGAATCTGAATGTTTTGACTATTGATGAATTGGATGAGAAGCAATTTTTTCCCTGGAAGACCTATTAAAAATAATAATAATCATTTACAGTATCCTGTTTCATAAGAAAGACCATGCCCTTTTATTTCTCTACACAATATCTACCTTGTTCTGTTAATTTTATTGTATCATTTTATTATCTTTTATATTTTACTCTAGAAGCACAAATGTATATTTTCTTATGAATCTTACTTCAAGCATATCCAAACTTATAGTTTACCAATATCTATTTAAAAATAGCATTCAAATCATATTTAAATATACATTGCATTTATTACTCCCTCCGTTTTATATTAAGTGTCGTTGTAGAGAATTTTTTGCGTTACAAAATAAGTGTCGTTTTCGGTTTTCAATGCAAAATTTATTACTTTTATTATGTAATTTGTTTTTCTATTGGTTAAAATATGGTTAGGTGTATGGGTAACTGTGTTTTTATATAGGAAATATATAAAATTAATTGTTTTCTTAATCCGTGTGCACAGCTGTAGAGTGACACTTATAATGAAACAGAGGGAGTATATAACTAACGCTATTATGAGTTTTAGTTGGGGCGTTTCTTTCGATTATTCTCCTCCAGTTTTATGGCATATCCAATTCCAATTTGTTGACTTTAGTTGTATGAACGAATCATTTCTACAATCAAATATCCATAAATTATATAGAATAATTATAACTATTGTATTTCTTAAAAAAAAAAAGATTACAATTAGCAAATCAGTACGGACACACAACAAATCAAATCAAATTGATTATTGATTTGTGCCAAAAAAAAAAAAAAAAAAAAAAAT